TTACATCTTGATCTTCTCATATCGCATTTTTTGTTACTATTCTTTTCTTAAATCTAAACCTAAATTTACCAACAACAGGAACATGATCTGGCGATATGTCAGCACCATATGTTTGCTTAGAAGAGCAAAAGAGTATAATAGCCTATGTACTAAGTTGTAAGACTCTATCAGGACACAATTCCAGTAAGCTCCTGTCAGGTCCAAATAAAAACAATTTTAGAGATTCAATATTGTTTTCCAGAATGATAATTCTTGCCTTACTCCCCTAAACAGATAGGCAACTTGCACTCTGGACACGAGTTGTTACAGCTGTGCACTTTTGTTTACACAAGTTGCATATTTGCACATACCAAGATGGTAAACTTTCTTTCAATAAAAAAAAGTAGAAGAATATCAGTAGAAGAAGACATGTTAACTCCAAATTCAATACTGTTTTACCTTAAACCAAGCGGAACCTATGTACTAAGTTGTGAGACTATACTAGGACACAATTTCAATAAGAACCTGTCAGGTCTAAATAAAACAAATTTCCAAAAATTCAATATTTTTTCCTAGAATGATAATTTTTGTCTTACTCGCGTAAACCGAGGGACAACTTGCACTCTGGACATCTAGTTGTTTCAGCTGTGGACTTTTGTTCATGTTTGTTCATTCAAGTTAGATGTTTGCACATACCAATGTGGTAAACTTTCCTTCAACAAAAAAGTAGAAGAATATCAGTAGAAGAAGAAAGTGTATTAACTCCAAATTCAAAAGGGTTTTACCTAACATCAAGAGGAACCTCTGTACTAAATTGTAAGACTCTATCATTATGATTTCAATAAGGACCTGCCCAGTCCAAATAAAAAATTACCAAAAATTCAATATTTTCCTGGAATAATAATTCTTGAACCACTCTTCTAAACAGAAGGGTAACTTGCACTATGAATATTACGTAGTTAGCTGGAAACCTTTGTGCACAAGTACACATACCAAGGTGGTAAATAACAAACTGATTGTTTTATGTAATGTTTTATAAGTGGCTTAAAAGTTATTTGTCTGATAGAAAACAGGAGTAAGGCAAGGAGCTCATCTTGCACCATTATTATTTAATACTTTTATCAGTTGGTTATCTGATATTTATATGATATTGATATCTGGTTAATTCTCTTCTTGGCTTGTATAAATTATTATTGCATGATGATTTAAATATTTATATCAGACTTCCTAATTAAAATAATTTAGTAAAACAGGAATTTAAAAAATTATCCATGTGGTACAAAAATAATAATACAAATATATCATATTTTTAATTCAAATTGTTAAATTAAATTGTATGAAATTGGACATTAAAAATTGTAGAATTTTAACTTTATCTAAAAAAGGTAATATGATACCATATTGTATAACTACTCCATTACCAATAAGCCATTATAAATTTTATACAAGAACTGAGAGTCTTTAGTGATAATGAGTTCTGGTTTGAATATCATATTATGAATATTATTATATTAATAATATTAACACAGCCATCAATGGCCGCTACCTCAGTAATCTACGATTTGCAGATGACATAATCCTAATAGCTACTGACCTACAAGAAATGCACACCATGCTTTAAGAACTACATACCGAATCTTCTAAAATAGGACTGAAAATAAATTTAAACAAAACAAAAGTCATGCACTCCGAAGACACCGTGACAATAATAAACGATAAAGTTATAGAAAAAGTTGAAGAATATATATACTTATAGACAAAAAATAATCTTAAATAGGGAAATTCAAACTGAAGAAATAAAAAGAAGAAGAAAGTTAGCTTGGGCAGCATTCGGTAAACTGAACTATATATACTCAGAAATCAACAAATTCAATTACATCTTAGATCTAAAGTTTTTGATGCATGCATTATTCCGATATTCCGACTTATGCGGCACAAACATGGACAATCACAAAAAAGAATATGAATATACTTAGAGTCACTCAACACGCGATGGAAAAAGCAATGCTAGGTATATCACTTAAGGATAAACAAACACATGGATAAGACAGAAAACCAAAGTCACTGATGTGGTGCAAAAATCATTAAAGTTGAAATGGGAATACAATGGACATGTAGCTAGGAGCGATCTAAACAAATGGCACAGATCAATTTTAACCTGGAGACCATACCAACACAAAAGACCCAGAGGCAGACCTCCTATGAGATGGAGAGATGATCTGAAAAGGACTGCCAGGAAAAATTGGCTACAAGTAGCGTACAATAGAAAACAATGGAAAGGAAGACTTGAAGAGGCTTATGTTCAGATGTGGAAGTGAATGGCTGAACGAAGAAGAAGAAGAAGAACACAGCTATGCATTTGTTGGTGCTGATTATAAGGAATGCCATGACTCACTAGAAAAGATTATTCACCAAAGGAAGATGACAACTACAAGCTATACTGGGACCACACTATATTCACAGACCAGCCAATGGCACATAATAGACCTGATCTCTCACTAGGCCTGAAACTCACTAGGCAAACAACCCTTATTGATGTGGTGATACCTAACACCAATAATTTGTGTGATAAATACAATGAAAAGATCACTAATTACAGAGACTTAGAAATACAAATCAGGAGTCAATGTAGAATGGAAAGTACCTATTATTCTATCTACTACTAGTGTTATTCCCAAAATGCTCCTAGAGAACATAAAACAGCTAAGTCTAAATCAACATCTCTAGTCCATGCAGAAAGCTGTAGTTTGAGAGATACTAAAGCATACCAAGTCACCTAGGGCTTGATAACACAGAAAGAGTCCACCTAGAGCTCAATCCGTTTGATACTCTAGGTATCTGGAATGAGTGAATGTTCCCCTTAGAGGGAGTGTGGGCCGTATGTCTAAATCAGGTTTGGAATATGTCTGTTCAGTTTGATCTCCTAACTTTAATGTGCATATAGAGTTTAGAAAAAGTACACAGAGCATTCTTGAGATTTATGAATTTTCAACTAGGCTTCAAAATAGAAAACATATAATGCATTGCATGAAAACTAAACTTGACTTTCTTAAAATCTAGAAGATTGCAATTTGATATTTGTAAATTATTTAAAACAATTAATGGAATTATCGCAAGTACTGATTTTCTACAATTCATATGTCCAATAGGACTACAGATCAAAGTAAAAAAAAAAGTATTTGGACTTGATTTTCATAGGACTAATTATGGTGTGAATAGATCTATCCTATAGATCTATCCTATCCTATAGACTATAGAATGTACAGAGCTGCCTATACTTTCTGTAGTGAGTTACTGTTTTTCAATGACAGTATTTCTACTTTTAAAGTCTTAGTGACAATAAATTAATGCACCAAACACATAAAGTTTGCTGGTTGGTGCACTTTGTTAAAAGTTATTGTGGTATTTGAATAAAACAATTGTAATAATTCACATTTTTTAAATTTGTTGGTCCATCTGGTTTGTTTTATTTTTAAATGGAAACCACTATTTTTGTGTACAGAAACTGAAAATAAGGCATTTGTGTATTACAAACTAGAAATGCATCAAATAGAGCATTTATTTTTTACAAACTTAAAAAACTATCCTAAGTGACATATCCAATTCTTTTATGCTTTTATGAAATTTAGTAATTTAGTATTTCACCTTATGTCTATGTCTCTGAAAACCAGATCCAGGGTATAATTAAATAAAATGTGTCAGTTGTGTTACTTCATTATGTTTTTACACTGTCATACTACATTTGATCCAAAACACTTTCAATGTTGTATTTTCATAAAATTTTTAATCTATAAATAATTAGTAAATGTTATTGAAAACATATGGTTAACTGTGAGATCGATAAGTGTACTCCACAAATTTTATAAATTAGAGACAAGTGCACAACACTGTTTCAAATTCCTGAAAAAATGTTCTTAAACTATTTTATTATAGCATTTTAATATTATTTATTATTTTTAATGGAATTTAATTATGATTTCAGTTTAAAGTTCATTTATTTTGACATTTCGATTTCCACTTCAGAAATCATTTTCAAAATACAATTTGTATTTTGAAAGTAATTTCTGAAGTTGAAATATAAACATCAAAATAAACATATTTTATATTTAAGTTCCCAGTGAAGCCCAGTGAAGATAGTAAATGTTATTGTCAAATAAATGTTATTGCCAACAGGATTTACATACAAATAGTCCATAGTAAGGAATTTTGTAAATAGTAAAGGTTAAAAATGTTTGAAATTCATATCCAATGAGATATTACAGATTTATTAACTTTGGCAAAAATACACATTTAGGCACATTATCCTATTCTTTAGCCAAAATGATTCACCAATAAAAAAAAAGAATCAGAAACCTGTTTATTATTTACAGGTAGACCCAGAAACATGTGTCAGAGAGTGGTAAGAGACTCAAATTAAATTGAAACGCAACCTTCTTCATATGTTTATTATTTGTTGTGTGAGTATGTTGTCTATTGTTTGACTAACAAATTATTAATTAAAACCTAGCAACAAAAGAACCTATCAACAAAGGAAAATCAGTTCCCAATATTAACATGCATAGTTTTATAAAGAACCAAATCACTCATTTAATGGAAAAATTAAATGTAGACTGTCTGTCACTGTATAATTATTATTACAATTTCCTTATTAAGCCTTTGTAATTTAAAGAAGTTATAAATCACTGCAGCTCATAGATGATTAACTGCTTGTTAAGCATAATTTCACTGCATGTTTACCACAATTGTCTTCCTGTTAGTTTTTACAATTACTGAACATATTTATTCCATATTTTTTCCTTAACTACTGAAACTTTGGTATTAAAAATGTTTCTTTAATAATTTTTGCTAATATAGTTTTTAATGCATTTAAGGCAACTAGAGGCAAATATGTATACAACACAACATTTAAAAATAAGTGTGATTTTCTCCAATTTAAAGGGTGTCAATTCAAATTTTATAAAATATATCTATACATATTGTTGAGATATTGGATGGTCAGCTGGAAAATATTAAAAACTTACCTTTTGTTGACCTAAATAATGTACTCAATTTATAATCATACTGCCTATTGTAAATGTCTCTAAAGACAGAGTTCCGTTTTGAATACATTGTACTAAGTCCTAATATCACTGTACTTCTGTTTAAAAATAGCCTACTTTTATGGACACTTTTATCCGAAAATATATTTAAATAATACTCATATTTTTAACTAAAAGCAAAAGCATTGCTATAAAGTTCTATTTGATCTAAATCGTAAGTCATGTCTATTAATTTTGATTAATTTTGTGAGAAAAAATAAGGCAATTGGAATATACTATTATTTGCAACTACACTTTGACAGACGCAAACGACATTGACAGTAAACAACTGATTAAAGAAAGAAAGTGTTGAAGTTGAAGTCATAAGTCATAGACATATTAATAATTGAAGTATGGTCACAGAATAATAAACAATCAGAAGGGCCACTCTCAGATGCCGCCTTTGAAGTTTTTCAGCACGCGCGCCATGTTTCAGGAGGAAACACATAACACAGACCAGAGATATGTAAGAGAGACATCTCTCTTACATATCTCTGACACAGACATATGATTTGTGTGGTTATGTAATTGTTTATATTTATGTTTAATTATATTTAACAATGTTAATATAATTGTATAGTATGTCTATGATTGCCGTAAGTCAAATAAACCTGGTTAATTTTCCTATGCACACCACATAAACAACACTGGTTCCCTTTAAAATCCTCCTAAAACATGGCGGAACGTCTGCGCAAAGGAGATGCGCGTACTTAATTTTCCGTGGAGAGTAGGCATTCTGTTTGTTTATTATTCTGTGGTATGGTTGAAGTTCGGACCACAGATCACCTACCTCCTTATTAGTGGTCTGTGGTTCGGACGAGAAGCTGGTTTACCGAAAGTACAAGCTGAATATAGCCGCAAAAGGCAAAAATATTTCGGTTTGGCAGTGTTGGCATGTTTTTATAATGCATATTTGTATGCTTCAAATATAAAAACATAAAGCTGGACTTATAGTTTGACCTGGTTTGACGGACTGTAGACGTAGATGCACTGCAGACGTAACAAACGAACTGTAAATATTATTTTAATTTATAAATCGACGGAGTGGAATTTTTGCGTATGGATAGAAACAGTGGTTAGACTGATGACCACGATACTATAATATCCTTTTATCATTTTATAAATTCTTAACGTCCATTGTAACAAATAATCAACAAAATCAAAATTCGAATATGTTGATAAGCAACTTTACAAAATGGTAGGCGGGCCAGATAGTTCACTTTGGTTGACCGCAAGGTCAGTAGATATTTGTAGATACTTAAATATCTACTGACCTTGGGTTGACAGCACAAAATTCCTTCCTTTTGATTGGCCTGACGCAAGTAACGCACTGTAAAAGATGAAAGTTGACCAACTCTTCCGTTACAGTGCATGGTACTATAAAATTCACAGTTTATTGAGAGAGAGATTTATTGAGAGTTTATTGTACCTTGGTTACAGTGCGTTTCGCTTACATCCCGTCATGCGTTTACGTTCATTTATAAATAAGAGTACACAAAAGTATAATATACTTTTTTTACGATAAGAATGTTATGACGTCACACAACGATCAGGTGCATCGTTGCCAAACTATTTTTCCATTTCTTATATTCTTCTTAAACACATATAACCTAACTTTTCATTGTCTTCTTTTAAAAACAAGTTGATCACTTTTGATGTTTATAAGTTTACACATAACCTAACTTTTCGTTGTTTTCTTTTAACACTTTATAACACTTTTATATGTTGATCTTTTTCCAGTGCGTCTGCGTCTACCTACAGTCCGTCAAACTATAACGTCGATGTAAAGGTCAATTCACACACATCAGTCACGTCACAGTCTCGGTACCGACCCGTTCCTTTTTGGTCACAGAACTATCAACTATCTGACAGCTGGCAAACTGTTCGTCAACTGATGAGTGTGAATGCCGGCGCCATATTTGTATTAAAGAATATTTTGTATGACGGATTGTTCGATTCGGCGCAATCACTGTGACGAGATGGTGACGAGACGTGACTGATGTGTCTGAATCGACCTTTAAGGAACGTACCTCATAATATACGTCCGTTTTTATTCGTAATTGTTGGGAGTACTAGGTTAAGTCGACATAATCTATTATCACTTGGAAATATATGTATCTAAATAAACGTGAAAAGTAGTATAACTTAATATAACTTGTTTGGCGCAATACGTACCAAGGTAAACAGAAGTATAAGTAAACGTATACTAGTGTTCACGAGATATATAATTATTAAATATTGGTGACCATAATTAAATGTTTGTTTTTCTACAATATGTCTGAAACACGGGAAGCAAAATTAATTATTTATATGGTTGCAAGATCGGCAGAGATCTTAATTTGAGGGTGAGGCAGTTTTTGGAGATGGCCACGTTATATTTTTTAAATTACGCCTTACGTTTTCTATTAATTACTTCATTAAATCAGACTGTTGGGGCAATTTAGCTGACGGAACAGCATTTTTTTTCAGTCTTCTTAATTTAGTTTCAGGTGTTACTATAAAGTAAATTAAGTATAAATATATTGAAATATAAATAATATTTTGATCAACACTTGGAAAGTTACAAAATGCATTGCCAAACTTTTCTCATATTCTCGTCCAGCGGAAATTTATGTATGGAATTTTTTTGTGAATTATAATAGGATGAACATTGAGGAACACTGCAAAGTTTTTTGAAGTCGAAGTCATTGTATGTTACAATATAAACCGGTTGCTAATACCTAATGTTGCTAATAATGCTAATGTTACGAGCAATGTCCGAAATTGGACAATCCTAGCATTGTACGGAAAATCTTGTCCACTTCTAGCATTGTACCCCTTTACTGTACAATCTCCGAAATAGACATAATCGTCGGACTTTGTATAAAGGAATTGCTGTACAATGTTCGATTTTCAATAAGTCGATAAGTAGTAATACGTCAAAGTTTGGAAGAATATGACAGATATCGATTATTTTTATGATTATTCCCCATTTGATATTAAAGACAAACAAACATTAATTACGATATAAATCCTAAATTAATCTATTAGTTAGTTGCAGGAACTTGAAATATATTAAATTAAATTTAATTAAACTTCATTTATAAACTTAAAAATAATGTTTAATAAAATTAATTAATATTATATCGCATGCTCTTTCGCGATTTATTAAAACGACATGACAATACTGGCCAAATACAAAACTTTCCTTCATTTCTTCAACGGAACTTAAACTTTTAACTTAAACTTTTCAATTTGTTACATGCCAAACCATCTTCAGAAATTTGATGGAAAAAACCAAAATTCTATTGCTACACTTGTTATTATTTTATAGAGCTTGTTCCGGTTAATCCTTTTACTGACTCGGATTACAACGGAATTACAATGTAACCGACAGCGAAGACAGTAGTGAAGACGAATATGTTGCGCTCAAGAAAAGAAATGTCATTTGTGATAGAGGAAAAAATAATTTAATTGTATCAAACCCAAAAAGTGCCGAAGATGTTACTTCTAACAAAACAGCCGAATGTGTACCCGATGCAGTGGAGTTAATCAATATAAAAGATCGGACAGTTTCCAAAAAAAAAAGAGGAAAAAAAGCTATTAAAGGGGAGACTAGAGCAATTCGCGATGAGAAAAAAAGACTACGAAATCTTGGTATAGAATAAACTACACGCAAAGGCAAAAAGGTAAGAGCAAAACAATTTAAGGACCTTGCAAACTGTAGAATGAAATGCAAAGAGATAATTAACGTTACCAAAAAGGAAGAAGTTTTTAAAGAGCTGTGGGGTATTGGCGATTATAATTAAAGGGTAGCCTATATAGCTGGATTAATATCAAGCAAAGAAAAAAATGTATCGAAAAGGAAGATTGACGGCAAGAAACAAAAATCGAACGATTACACATTCTTACTCCCTTCACATCAACGGAGATAATGTAAACATCTGTAAGGCGTGTTTTATGACCACTTTTGATGTCACAAACATGTTTGTGTCAGACGTAATCAAAAATAAGAATACTTCTACTGCTGGCATTGTTCACTCTGATTTGAGAGGAAAAGGAGAACCATATAATAAAACCCCTCAAGAAGATAAAGAATTATTGAGATCTCATATTACTTCAATTCCAACTTACGAGAGTCATTATGCAAGAAAAAAGTCAAGTAGAAGATATTTACCTAGCCACTATACACTTAAGAGAATATATGAAGAATATAAGATGTAGTTACCAAAAGAAAGAATAAGTGTGTCACAAAAAATATATGAAAATGAATTTCGAAGTCTTGGTATAAAAATTAAAAAAAACCAAATAAGGATACCTGTACAACGTGTGATAAGTTCGCCATGGTCATAAAAAATTCAAGTGAACAAGATAAACAGAGGTTGCGAGATGAACTAAAGGTTCATCAAACAGAAGCAGAAGCAGCCTATCAAGCAAAATGAAGAGATAAAGAAAAAATCTGCAACGGATCTATGTACATTAGTTTACACTTTCGATCTCCAGCAGTGCTTGCCGACACCCGATATAAAAACATCCGTAGCATTCTACAAACGGCAATTGTGGACTTTTAATTTCATCATGAGAAAATGTGATGATAAGCAGTGTTCAGTGAAGTAAATAGCAGGTCGTGGTGCTAATCAAATAGCATCATGTATTTACAATCATTTCTCGTCAGATTTGAGTGATAGTATTAAGGAATTCACACTGTATTCTGACACTTGCCCGGGACAGAATAAAAACTCTTATCTTATAGTATTATTTTTTATTGTGGTGAAAGAAAATCCAGGAATATCTTACATAAACCATAAGTTCCTATGGTTCCTGGTCACACTCTCATATGGAGTGTGACTCCAATCACTTTATTATAGAAAAATCTAAAAAGATATATCCAAATCTCCATTGACCATCCAAGAGACTGGTTTCAGTTGATTCGAACTTGCGGTAAGAAAAACCGTTCATTGCAAAAGAAATGGATCGCAAAATTTTTTTGTGAGTTTTCAGGTCTTACTCAAGCAGTACTTTTCCCAAAAAAAAGTCAACGAAACTGGCCAGAAAGTTGTTTGGAAAGATATAAAATGGTTACGCTACTCTCAAGATATTGGAATAGTAGAATATAAAACTACTTTAGACGAAAGCGCACCTTTCCACAAAATTAGATATCTGCGTAATAATTTACCGCAAGATATAACTTTACCACCCAATAAGTCAAGAAAAAAAATCTTATTGACCTTTTACCCTACGTTGATAAAAATTTCCACGATTTCTATATGAATTTACCATCCAAGAATGCAATACCCGACACAATTAAAATTAAAAAAGTACATTTTGATTATACTATTTTATGAATTCTGCAAGTTTTAATTTATATGAAGCAATAACGAGTAGATATTTGTCTCTTTCGAGATTATTGCAAACATCTATTGTAATCTGGCAACTGCTGATTTGACGATTGCCAAATTTATCCTCTAGGCTATCAAAAGATAATTGCTAAAAAAATGTCTAATAATTAACTTCAATTAATCTCCACAGAAATAAATGTTTACTCATTGTTGTTTTATATAAATCAAAAATTGCAGAATTCATAACATAATATAAACAAAATGTATTTTTATAAAGCTTTATCTTTTTATATTTGAAGCATATAAGATCTACACTATAAAAACATGCCAACACTGCTATACCGAAATTTTTTGTTCCATGTTTGACATTTGCGGCTATACTCAGCTTGTACTTTCGGTAAACTCAACCGATTCTGTGGCTCCTCCGGTTTTAAATTCTGCATCCGGATCAGAGATATCTCTGATCCGGATCTATGATTTTAAATTCTAAACTTTACTGCACTATGACTCCAAACGAAAAAGAAGTAATTAACCTAACCTACTTAATAACCTTAACCAAACTTTTTAAAAATGTCAGAAAAAGGCGACAGTGATGAGGACTTACCACAATTATCAGCAGAAACATTTGCTGCCCTACAAGAATTTTATAAAGAAGAAGAGGAAAGAGAACATAATATCAATTTACTAACCGATCAAAAAGATGTCACGCTTAAAGAAGATTGGGTAAAACGTATTTAAATATAATAAATTTGCTTAAACTAACAGGAACTTGTACTTTTTAGCAACTTAGTCAGTTTTGGTACAATCAGGATACTATTGATATTCTAGTAAAATTGACATTAAAATCTGTTGGAGATAATGCAAAGATAGCTCTTATTTCCTGCCCTTCTTTATATAAAACTATGAAAAAAGTGGGAAAAGGCTGTGAAAGTAAGATTGTATTTAAATTAAAGTTAATTTTGAAATATCATGCATCATATATTCTCGTATTGATGGGCCATTGCTAATAGACCATACCTGCAAATTTTTATATTTTAAGTTATACTTTTTACCTGAAATTAATCAAGTTATATTCCTTGTAATGAGTAATTGAGTAATTCCTATTTTAATGGAAATAAGACACAATTGATGGATAAAGTAAGTTTATTGATGTTTTAATTTCACTTCAAAAATCGTTCTTGATTAATTTAGGTTACATTAAATTAGAATTTGTGGACACTATACTTTAAAAGTACTTTGTAGGGTTCTGGTTGAGTTGTTAGTTATTAGCAACACTGTTTCATAAACTCCCTGTACTTCACCAGTTGCTGATTTAACTGCCCGGAGCTCAGTTTGAATTTACTGCTTAGCAGAAAATTCAAACATGAAAAAGTACTATATGCACAGTGACATAATAAAAGTGATAACATCAGCACAAAATAAAATTACCATATAAAATTATATTTCATTTAATATATAAATTATGTTTTCAGTTACGCTTTATGAATATGATAAAAGGTTCTCTGCATATGGAGCAGATTATGTATTTTATGACTACAAATCACCTTTAAGTATACCTCGAGACAAATCGGATTATTATGATATAGTGTTAGCTGATCCTCCATTCCTTTCTGATGAATGCCTCACAAAAACTGCCCTTACTATAAGATTCTTAACCAAAAGCAAAATAGTACTGTGTACAGGTAAATAATGCAGTATTTATTAAATGGTTTAAAAAAAATTAAATTTCATCTTTTAGGTGCAGTAATGGAAGATTTACTTAAGAGACTTCTGGATTTAAGGAAAACCAGTTTTGAACCCAAACATGAAAATAATCTAGCAAATGAATTCTGTTGTTTTACAAATTTTGATTTGGATTCACTTTTATAATATTTCATAAAATTAATGCTCAAATTGCAAAGCAAATTTTATATATACAGGTATAGAAAAATATATTTGTTAGTTTTTGATAACTTATCATTAACTTTTATCAACACAATTACAAAATATGAAATACAAGTATTATGTAAATATGTGAGATTCTTTAGTTGAATTCATATAAAACAGATAAGTTTATAGAAATTTGCTGATCATTGAAGATCTGTCCCAAATAATATTGTATGTGGACATATCCAACCTTATAATAAACAAAAAAAAACATTTTATTTAGTTTGAAAACAATATATTTTTTTATGTTAAATCAATGGCAAATATGTTAATATGTCATTTTGGTAATACCTATAATTATAATACTTATGTTGGTACAATTTGCTTTCAATCAATATACAATTCACAAGGAAACTAAGTTCCTGTAGCCTGGCTGAATACCATGTATCACAAAAATTTATTTAAAATTCCTTTATAAAAGGTATATATTTAATATATATCTTTATATATTAAATATACTTCTCTACCGCTGAGGTAAAGGACACTATGTCCATTTTCTTACTTTTTCAGGAGAGCAGTTTTAACATAAACTTTTTTAAATAATGTGATATTACATGTTAAGGCCTCTACAAAATAAACAAGATAAACACAATAAACAGCCTATACTATTATTTTATTAGAGACAAATATAATGTTATAACAATTAGGTAAAATTATAGACTACAAGTCTCAAAATTGTTAAAGAGGCTCCATATCATCTTCATCTTCTTTGGGGTAATCGTTTGTGGCTACATCGCTGTGTTAAATTATGATAAAATGCATGACAAACAGACGGAACAAAAGGCAATAGTGCAATTAAGTCATTGTACTTTTATTTTGTGATTGGTAATGGGAAAACTGAGTCTTAATTTAATTGGGTTGAAAATGTTACTTGCTGTCTTCAATACCTCATGAAGTCCACCTCTTACATATTTTGATTATTGAAATCGGTTTATAAAAGAGCTTTCCAATGTGTTCATGTTGGAATTGTAGGAAAACACATGTTTACAGAAGAATAGGCTCTTTGTTAACATTCGTTTTCTACTAACAAAAGGATAATTAGGTGACAGTTTTTTATCTAACAACTTTTTGAAGTTTTTGAAATCTGCAAGTTCCATATTGTGCAAAATTAATTTACCTGATGTTTCCGTAACTAGCTCTTGCCAGTCCCATGGTATTAAAATGGCCAAATTGGAAACTTTCTTTCTTTTCCTCTCGATAAAAGCATGAACAATGTCTGCTTCTATATATATATATATATGTGCCCTTTTAGTAAAAACTTTTGAGTGATCATCTTTATTTGAGGGTACATATGCAGTATCCAAAAATAGCACATTATAATACTTATATTTTTATTTTGTCCATAACAGTTATCAGTCCAAAGAGTGATGTCCCCTACTTGACTACCTGGAATTGTATTGTCAGCCCATTTAAAAATTGACGAGGCAATTTCATTTGCACCACGGGCCCCTTTTGATTTATCCTACATCATACATTGTACAGAAGAATCAGTATCATCATATAATGTAAAATTTAATGTCCAAAGGTTCCTTTTGTAGAAACTAATACAATTGTTTGTTAGCGGTGAAGGCAAACATTTTTGAAAATCACCAGATAGTACTTTGTATTTTGGTGAATCTTTAGCCATTATAACGTCTAATTGTTTTAAGTTATACCGAGTTTTAAATTCAATTAAGTGAACATCATGATCAGCCTGTACACTGGTTAGTTTATCTGCACTAAGATTATTTTTCAAATGAACGGTGAATGTACTGCATGAATCGTAAGTGTCTATTTTGGGTGGTTTAAACCACAACTTAAAGTCTTTCTTTAAAATATCTGTGTACAACCACTTTTTTGCTCTTAGCTTGGGATCCACATGTCTTTCATTGCATGAATCAATGTATAGTTGATACATCTTTCCTATTGTAAGTTCTGTGCTCAGATAATTTCTCTTGCTCCTTTCTCTGGAATAATGACTCTCGTACTTTGGGAAGGAATTGATATGTTGATATATACTATTTATGGTTTCGGTAGGAGTTTTCTTTTCCCACGAGAGTTCGGATTCATTTTGCAATTATTAAACAACAGATTTATTATATAACTTTTAACAATCTAACACTATTGCGAACTAGTTAAATTGGTTACAATTATTTTAGTTCATGAAAATTCTACCAGGTACTAAGGTACATAACACTACATCCGGATGTTAAATAGCAGTGAATACATTTAGTAGAGGTAAACAACACCAAGTCCACCTGGTGTTGTGTACCTCTGACTGTAAGTGGACTTGGTGTTTATTAAAAAGTCGGTAACTTGCCATAGAATTGTCTCTGGACGTAGTATGGTTTACCTGTGTGTACAGCCAGAAAAGTTATATTCAAAAGTGCAATAATCCCAATTTTGATAAAAATGGACATAGTGTCCTTTACCTCTGGGGTACAGATATGTATACTTAATATATACCTTTTATAAAGGAATTTTTAAATACTTTTTTCAATATACCTACATTGTTTATATATTTCCTCAACAATATCTTAACACAATGTTATACACAAACCAATGTTCTATGTCTAATAGAATTTACTTTATTGCGTGAAAATATAAAAAAGTGTCCAATATGGAACTTTTTAATTAAAATAGTCTGGATAAAGTATTTCCATACCTGTATAATTGATATTGCCTACAGCATAGTTGTTATATTATTGTATAACTACAGAGTTAAGTTACTTTTTGTGATTTAAAATGTATAAAATATCACTGTTTCCAATATATTTTTATGTTTTACAAGGTTACAATTTTTTAAATAAAACCCCAATTTAACTTTTCTAAATTTTATTTTGATGATATGTTTAGCATGAAATGTATTTGTATTTAAAAAATAAGCATACAGCAATTTCGAACATATTTGAAAAGCAAAAGTTTTAACAATATATAAACATTTAGAAGTTTACAGTGCAACAAATGCAAAAACAAACAAAGGCAGTTATGGATAAAGCCTGAATAAATGCTAAAAATTAATATACATTATAACAAAGTTATCGTTTTAATTTGATAAAATATATCAATGCTGTGAAAATATCTTTATATCTACTAAGCCAGATCTTGCAGCAACTCTAAATAATATTGACATAATTAATGATGTCTTAAAAATTGTAATAAAAATATAATTTCAATATTGAAGGTATGCGAAATATAATAAAGTCATTTTTTCTTCAATGTGCTATCCAATTATCCAAAAATGTTTTATTGTTTGCATATTGAGGAACATACACCATTAGAACCTCCTTTAATTCAAGAAGTACGGGACGCAATAAAACAACAAAAACAAAACTCCAGGAAATGGCAGTATATGTACAGAATTTATCAAATGTGGGGGCGATAATCTTACTAATCATATTGATACAATCATAGTAAGAGCTTGGAATGTGGAACAACTCTCGGAAGAGTGGTGTACAGGTATTGTTTGTCCATTCACAAACGGATCACAAAAAGAGTGATCGATTGGAATGCAGAAACTATAGGGGTATAATTCTTCTTAACACAGTACCAAATTTTTTTCAAGTGTGCTCAAGTGCGTGTTCAGAGGCGCTTCTTGACGAATATCAAAGTGATTTTAGGTCTGATCAATCAATAACGGATCAGATTTTTGTCCTGAGGCGGATACTAGGAAGGAAATTGTATGTCACATGGACGAATTTTACATTCTCGATAAATAAATAAAACTGACAAGGGCTGCAAAATACGTAAAATTGTTTGCAAAGTAGAAATACAGAGTGAAAAATCACAAGCGATTGAGGAAGGAAGACACACTGGCGTGCCTCCTTTTCAACATAGTCTTCGAAAACAGGCTTAGAGACTCCAGAATTGACAACACAGAAAATATTTTTAACAAATCTTTACAAATGGCTTATACAGATGATCTAGACCTTATTGCTCATATAACAGGCAAGCTAAAAGAAATGTAAACCACGTTCTCGAATGCATCAACAACACATAAATAGCGATCCCCAATTCACTGTTAACTCTAGCTTTGAAGTGATGGACCCATTCACATAGTGGAGCTTCCTGATTGTGTTACAGCCGTTGAGTTGACTAAGAGGTAGACCAAAGATGGAAGGATGGTGTAGATAAAGATGCTAAAAAAATAGGTGCAGCAAACTGGCAATTCAAAGGGCTGACTAGAGAAATAGACTTGGAAAGGTCGATGCTCTACTATGGGGCTGTAGCACCAATGATGATGGTATTGAGGAACGTGGTAAATATAAAATGCAATAATATAGGATTAGATCTCCTTTGTTCTTTTTGATAAATAACAGCAAACATTAAAAAATTACTATTTTCTGTCCTGGAATTTTTCAATTACTTTTTGTTTTCTAAAGATAAATAATTTATCAAGATCAAAAGACAAAAAACCGTCTTTTACTGTATTCACATTTATTTATTCAATGTTAAATCATTCATTCATTTCATATTTCATCCTCACATATAACTGACTGATTTCTTCAATTTCATCATCCTTTTCTTTGCCATATATTTAAGAATATGCTGCTCTTCCTTTTCCCACAATGGATATGGTAAGAATACTCCATTTTTCCTCTTTTCTGTAAGGAATTACCTTCAAGGCGAAAAGTATTTTTTTCGGAAGAATAAATTATATTGTGGACATAAGATACAATGATGTTTAAACGCATATCACACTTGATAAATAAGGGCCAGAAATATTCCAAGGACCTGCTCCATTGCTAAAGGTTGGTCATCATTACGGCGAATTGATCTCTATGTTCTTAGATAATTAAATATTATTACAAAGAACAAAATCACAATAAAATTTAAGAATGAATTAATATCGGAAGTAGAAATCAACTCGGTAATCCGTCAAGGTGATAGCTTGAGCCCATTACTTTTTAATTTAGTAATAAACAAAATCATAGAAGCTATTAAAAGTATAAAACAAGGATATAAGATGAGAGAAAAACAAATATGTATCCTCTGTTATGCAGGCGACGCAATCACCAATAATGAAGATATTCTACAGCGCATGGCACAGACATTCAACAAGAACTACGGCATGAAGATATCAACAGCTAAGACCAAATCTCTGGTAGTGGCAAGGGAACTGCAAAATAGTAATTAACGATTAAATAAGTTGATATAAGGTTGAATGCTCGAATAAATGAACTTTGAAAAATTAAAGGCAGATATCGAGCACAATTTTATTAATCAAATCTTGCCCAAGTACTTTCGCTTTCTAAAGCATCATCAGGGGCATTTTGTCAAATTTGGGCTATTCAACAAGCGCAGAATGTAATAAACATGAAATTAAACATAAATTGTACATAACACTACGCTAAACAAGGACAAACAGATTCAAATTATTCGACGGTACATTCTTGTCGGCAACAGGAGAGAGAATCGTTCTCTCTCCTGTCTAGCTATGGAAAACTT